TCTTGAGCACATTAGAGCTCCTGAGGATGCGGCAAGGTTTAGTTCTGTTGTCCTTATAGTCACTGTGAATGGTAGCTGAGTTGAAGACACAGAGCAACAATAATAGAATACTCGTGTTTTGTGGTTACTATGTGCCCTTGAATCTGCTGTCTCTGACTCATAGTGACCCTGTTTACAATTGGTCTGAATCTTGCCCTATCCTAAGCCAGTCTCACTATCTCTGACATCCCTACCCTAGTTACTATGTCAATCCATTTCATCTGGGGCCTTAGTCTCCTGTGAGTCCTTTCACCCTTCCAAGCCTCATATGTTTCTCCAGGGACTTGACCCTCCTGGCCACGTGCCCAAAGTATGTGAGACAGAGCTTCAAAATCCTTGCCTCCAAGGAGCAGCTTGGTTTCACCCTCTCCAAGACAGGCCTGTTGGCTCTCTTGGTGGTCCATGTGTTCAAGACTCTTCTCCAGCACCACAACTCAAAGGCATCAGTTCTTCTGTCATCCTTCGTCATTATCCGGCTCTCTGATACATATCAAGTAATTGTTAAGATCATGGCCTGAGTTAGGCACACCTTAGTTTCTAGGATAACATTATTGCACTTTGGAGAGGTCCCTGACAGCAAATCTCCCTAATGGAATTATTCTTTTGATTTCCTGACTTCTGGTGCTAGGAGTGTTTATATGGAGCTGAGCAAGCTGAAATAGTTAACAACCTCAGTCACTTTCTATCATGGTACTGCCAAGGGGCCCAGTGGTGAGAATCTTTGTCTTCTTGATATGGAGCTTCAATTCATATTGAAGACTATAGTCCTTGACCTTCTGCAGCAATTGCTTCAGGTCCTCCTCAGTTTTGGCAAGCAAGATTGTGTCATCTGCATAACACAGGTTGTTGAAAAGTTGTCCTCCAATACTGATGCCATGAAATCTTATGTTTTCAGTGCTTGTATTATTTCCATCTGATCGCTTGTCACCTCAACCTTTATATTATATCTTTATGTTAGATACATACACCTTTCTTTCTCTCTTACCTCTCTCTCTTTCTTATACACACACAAACACACACACACACACACACAGAGAGAGAGAGAGAGAGAGAGAGAGAGAGAACGCACTCTTACTCATCTTCTTTTTGAATGACCACCTGTGAAAACATGTTTACACATGAGAGTAAGTTCTCCAGCCTTAATTAATGAGCTGTTAACTGGGTTAAGATTTTTTCCAATGTAAATCATGTATCACTAGCAAAGGGGTATTTATCATGTTGACTAAAAAACTTGCCTGGACTGAGAAGAATGGCAGCAGAGAAATTAGCTCTAACTGGCCTTCAGCATGGTATAATGTCAGAAGAGAGGAAGATATAATTTGAAGTTCTTCCACCACGGAGAGAAGGTGAAGTCACAGCCTAGGGGATTTCTGTTTCACCTTCTCAGAAAGGAGTGCTTCTATAGGCCCAGGATCATAACCGTACACTTCTCACATATGTCAGTTTCTCACCCTCGCTACTCCCCTTAATAATTGCTGGTGGAATCCATTTTTGAAAAGGAAAAATAAAAAATTAAATTCTTTTGTCAAACAAAGAGGGAAACTGGGGAGACAGTTCTCTATCCTACAAGCAGGACTTGAGGGAAGGGATCTATAAGGGCAGGATAAGTAGTGGTGGCAATGAGGAAAATGATTAATTGGTTGTGGTGAGCTACAGGAAATAAAAAAAAATGCAAGGAGCAATTTAGATGGAAAATGTATCCTACAGCTGATCCGTGTAATCCAAATAAAAGCCAAGGCCCAAGTGGCTCAGTGAGCATCTAGTTTCATTAAAAAAAAAAAAGAAGAAGAAGAAGGAGAAGAAGAAAGAAAGAAAGAACCATGTGAGAATCTAAAATAATGAAAAGTAATTCCAAACTCTACTACTGACTTGCAAGGAATTTCAAAAGGAGGATGTAGTCAGCAAGTCACAGCAACCTGTCTCCAGGCCTCTTGCCTTTCATGTCTCTTCCACACAGCAGCTACCCTGAATCCCTTTTCTCCCTTTCAGTTCCTTACCACAATTTCTCTGTCAGAAATCCCCTTTCTGACTCTCCTCTCCCACTCAAATTTTTCTTCTTCTTTTCACAAATATTTCTTGTACCTTTTTTCCATTGTAAATGATCAAACCCACTTTAGTCTTCCTAATTTTCTTTCCCTTTCTATTCATTTTCTCAAATTTGGATACATAAAATCCAGGAGCAGACCAACATCTTTCAGGAGCAGGAAGTGGAATTGAATGAATAAAGAGAGAATTTTCAGTAGTGGATGGCAAAGGGGGGAAAGCTTGGAAATGTATTCAATTTAGTGTGATTTCTCTGCCCTTCTGCCACTCCCACTCTTGTCTTGGTCACATGTAAGGACCCAAAGTGTTCTGCAGATGTTATTCATCACTATTTACACCTAGTACCTAAAAAAACACTGCCTTTTTAAAAAATTCATTTTAATGAAAGTTTGAAGAGACTTAGGGTTTCCATTCATTCATTGTTTTACTTTTCTTCCTGCCCACCTCTCCCCACAATTCGCTCTTCTCTTTGAAAAGTAAAAGAAAAATGCTTTCATTGTTATCCAATCCCTCTCCCCAAGTCCACTCCACTGTGCAGCCTTCATTCTGGACTCCTGTCATGACAATAATACCTAATCATATATCCCTTTCAAACAGTTCGCTCCCTCATCTGTTTCAATTCAGTATACATTATTTATCCCCTTTTTCTCAGTATTCACTCAACCCCGATATGAGTTCCGTTTTACAACAGTAGCCCTATGTAATATTTGCTCTTTTGTGACTGAGATGTTTCACTCAGCATAATGTCCTTTATGTTCTTACTTTACATGTAATCGTGCTCACTAACACTCTCCCAAGCACAGCTCTGGGAAATCTGTGTGTCTTCTCTGCTGCCTTTCTCTGACATGTGATTGAATTTAAGAACCACTCAGATAACCCAAAATAAATTCCTCCTCTCGAGAGATTTAACGTAATTGCATTTTTTATCCCAATAAGGGAATTCAGAACTGGATATATCTTTGGGTATCTTTTTCCCCAGCCTACTACAATGGGCCATGGCCATATGGTGAAAGTTCTTAAAAACTAGACCAATACAAAACCAAGAAGTTCATAAGATACAAACTGTGATCAAGCTTAGAAGGCCTAGTCTATGGTATAAAGAGACAGCCAAATACAGCCAGAAATTCACAATCTAAAGAGGCTAAAATTGATAAATGGGACCTTCTAAAGATTAAATCCCTGTGCACATCAAAAACTTTTTCCAGCAGGGTGGAAAGAAAACCAACATACTGAGAACAAACATTTGGTAATACCATCTCAGACAAGAGTCTCATAACGAAAGTTTACAGAATACTCCTGGGCCTCCACAAGAAAAAGACTGAAATATAGCCCAATTACAAAATGGGCAAAAGACATGGAAAGAATTTTCACAGAGGAAGATACTAAAATGGTAAACAGACACTCTTGAAGAAATGCTCTAACTCACTGGCAGTAAGAGAGATGCAAATCAAAACCACAATGAGATACCATTTCACTCGAGTAGCAGTGGCAAAGTTTAACAGGACAGCAAGTAACAAATGTTGGAGAGGATGTGGTGAGAAAGGAACTCTTCTACATTGTTGGTGGAATTGTAAAATGGTGCAACCATTCTGGAAGGCAGTTTGGCTCTTCCTTAAAAAGCTGAACATAGAAATTCCATATTACCCAGCTATCCCACTACTTGGAATATACCCTGAGAATATGAGAACTGAGGCACAAAGTGAGATTTATACACCAATGTTTATAGCAGCATTATTCACCATCACATGAACAGGAAAACAGCCCAAATGCCCAACCACAAATGAATGGACTGAGAAATTATGGTACATTCATACAATGGAGTACTATGTAGCACGCAGAAGCAATAACTTTGTAAATTATTACCTAACATGGTAGGGACTGGAAAGCATTATGTTGAGTGAACTAACTCAGTCACATAAGGATAAATATTGTATAAGACCATTCATTATTGTAGAATGAGTATAAGGATCCAGGAGGGGTGGGAGAGGCTGGAAGCAGAGAGATGAGGATGTGCAGTGGGAAGAGGGTTGTACAATCATTGGGTTGTACAATTTGATTGATGGGGGTTGTGTGAGGGAAATGGAAGTAATATGTTCAAATTTGTATTAGAATATTGTAACTAAACTAGTGGGGGGAAAATCTAGGCAAAGAAGTTTGCTTTTAATTCTTTGGACAACTGAGAGCTACTGAAGATTCTTCAACAGGGTCGTAACCATAGTCATGCTCTTGTGGATTCATTGGGAAACCAAGTAGAGTCAATTGGAATAAGTATTGGTGAGAAAAAGGGAAACTTTTTTAGAAGCTTATAAAAGTCCTTTTTCATAGATAATGAATCTAAGCTAGTGTGATGGCACTGGAAATGGAATTTAACAACTGAGGATGGAAAATTTTGAGGTGTCAAAATAAGCCAAAAAACTAAAAGATGACTCCAGAACAAGATTTTGCATTTTGTTTGGGAGAAGGATTCTAGATCAGAAAGAAGAAATTTAGAATAGCCCTAATAAAAATAAATAAATAAAATTGGGGAAAAAAAAAGAATAGCCTTACTAATGGTGAAAATGATGTAAACTTAACCCTAGTAAGTTGAATCTAAAGTATCAGCAGTCAAATCAAGTGTCCAATGAGAAGTTGGGAAGTTGTTCTGGGAATTCTGGCAATGGATCTGAACAGAACAGGGAGCTCTGGGGGCAGAGCCCATAGGACATTGTTCTGCCAACCCAAAGATGGTGTCCCTCTGGCGATCCAATTCCGTCAGTGATTCCTAGGGAGAAAGATGGGCAGTCTCTTCCCATGCAATTTACAGCCTCCTGATGCCCCCCTGCAGGATCAGCTGTGAGATGATTCCTACCAAGCATTGATAGCTGTGGACTTGCACTTATTTTTACATTAACATCTATCTCTGCCTTTCTTACCTGCAGATTCAAGTTGGAGAGAAGGCAGCAAATGCACTGAAAGCAAAACATGGGACAAATTATAAAGTTGGCTCCAGTGCAGATATTTTATGTAAGTTTTTTTTTCCTTTCCATAAAATTTAAGGCACAGAGGAAATCAGTGGACTTGGGATGGGGTGGAGTTGGAAGGAAAGAGAGAGAAAAGAGTTCCTGGAATCAACAGGGAGTTGTATAAATCAAATGACCAAGGATAAAAGGGAATCTGTACAAATCTAGAATTATGCTCTCTAGGGATAAACAATAAGAAGGAATTAATACACTGGCTCAGCCCAGAACTTCCTCTGGCTTCAGTTATAAAGGGTTGGCAAGTTAGAAGGCACAGGAGTTCACAGAAAAGACATTGCCCACTGACCCTTGGTTAGTTGATTGAGTTCTCAGAGGAATTACTTGGCTTTTTCAGAAAAGCAAAAGGGGAGGGACTGGAAAAAGAATCTAAAAGGAAATCATTCAGGTGGCAAAGGAGTGTGCTGTTTTCCATCTTTCCCAACGACTACGTCCTACAACTTCTTCAAGACCACCTGCACAATATCTTAGTGATATTTCCTTGTTGATCATTTTGATTCATCCCTTTGTATGAGTCAATTAAGTCTTCTTTTGCATTATTGTATTGCTTTGTTTTTGATTCAGATAATAAACTTTAAATCCTTACTACATCCCAGGAACAGTGCTAAGTATTACTGGGGGAAAGGGGAAAAGAGAAAGACTAAGGTACATATAGGTTCTTGGCCTGCTAAGGTTTATAATGAAGATGGGGGCAGGGACTAAAGGATCTATGAGTTTCTAATCTTATAAAAAGTTTATTTATTTCATGAGATTGAAACTTTAATCCCTGAAGGGCAGGGACTCCAGACCTCTGTTCTTTCAACTGCCTTCTTCGTTTTTGTTTTACTTTGTTCTTTCATAGATGCTACATCAGGATCTTCAAGAGACTGGGCTCGGGACATTGGGATCCCCTTTTCATACACATTTGAGCTCAGAGACACTGGAGAACACGGCTTTGTACTGCCAGATGATCAGATCCAGCCCACATGTGAGGAGACCATGGAAGCTGTGCTCTCTGTGTTAGATGATGTGTATAATAAATACTGGTCCTCAAACAGTGCTGGGAAGGTCACCTCTACCACTGCAGGGCTGACCCTGCTAACACTCTTCTTTACTTTAAGAGCACTGGTGGCATAATAGTCCACAGTGGGTTTCGCTTCTAACACAAAGGCTGCGTACCTCAGGCAATTGGATTCTACCAGTGGCTCTATGGAAGGATGATGGGTAATCTCCCATGTGATTTACAGCCTCTTAAGCCCAATGGAGGGTCAGCTGTGAATCTATTTCAACTCAGTAGCAATGAGAAAATATAAAAATTTTAATCTAATCTAGCTTTTGAACACTTTCTTAAGCTGATTACAGCCTCAGAAACCAAATGGAAAGTCTTTGCAAGTCAGAACCAATTTGATGGTCTGCTGACCTCCAGTAGCATGGGTACAGTTGTAAAGAAAGTATGTGTCTATGGAGGTACATGAATCAAATAATGGAACCAAAGATCATTTCTATCTCAATAAATAATGTCTATTCTTTATGTTGTGTTTCTAATAATTAATTTGTATTACTTATTAACACTGCAAAAATGCTACAAGCTAAACTACCCTAAAACTCAGTGGTATGTAAATCTATATGTTAGCTAAGGTGCTCTGCCAATCTTGGCTAGGCTAATTTGTGTACCCATGGTCAGTTTCGGATCACCTGGTTGATTCTGGCTGGGCTTCTTGAGTGGGTGGTGAGGTTTACTAGCTGTTAACTAGTCTAGGATATCTTCAGCTGGGATGGTGGATGATGGTTATACTCCATACGTCTTGCCATCTAGTAGACTAGCGTAGGTGTGCACTCAGGCTATGATGGAGGAGATGGTATAATGGAGCAAGCATCAATGTGAAGTGCTTTGCTGATTGCATCATGTTGGCTCATATCCCATCAGCTAAATAAAGTCACAGGGCTGAGCTCAGAGTCAAGAGGCGGAGTAAGACCTAGTGTGAGAAGTAAAAAAAGGAGTCCATGAGTACACTTAGTTTGCCTGATATTAAGTAGTCTAAAATATCACTAGTTTTACTTTACACTAAGAATACCTCAACTACCAAATGAAGGGGTTCAGATATAATATGTTGCTGAGTCCAGCTTTAAATCTTGACACATCTGTGTTAGCTGAACCTGATTGTTCAGGGTATCAAATAATTAACAGTCACATGATAAGATTTTGATTTGGCCTTTTGTGTTCTAATTCTTTGTGATTTATGATCTCAAGGATAATGTTAAGATAATGGTAAGACTAGATTCCTTGTCCTGAATTATTTCTTATCTAATTTCCTTAAAAAATTTCTTTACATTCAAACCAGTTTCTCACTTGTGTATCATTTAATTAGTTACAGCATTCAGAAGATAAATAGTAGGATCTCTTAGTGTTGCTGAATGAACTAATTTATTTCCAAGCAGTTTCTAGGATGTGAGCTGGATCTGTTTCTATATGTATTTTTAAGGATGTAAGTAAGTCGGGACAGGTTGTTATTTAGTCTCAATTCAATTCAAGAAAAAGGAACTCCAGCTGAACACTGTGACACTGATGTGCCAAATGTGATAATGGTTACCCAGGTGGACAGTGTTTGGTGGAGCTCTCCAATTAAAACAAGCTTAGAAGCAGGAGTGACATCCACTTCTGAACTAGTTTGCCTTCGGAAACCATTTGGACTTGGAGAAATGATGAAAGTTATACAAGTGTTCAGGTCTTTCTTTCCTAAGTTCGCTATGAGTTGTCTACGACTCCATGGCCCTTAACAACAATAACAACAAGAGAGCTCAGTTGGCCTAGTGGACAGAAAGTGATACTACCAAGCCAAAGGCGGGTGCTTTTAGTCTGCAGCCCTCAGGCCAGTTCTAACTGATTTTGGTCAAACATTCTTCTAAGTGGTATAGCACCGATCTGTCCATTTGCTGTGCAGAAGTAACTCGTGGCTGCTGTGATGTTAAACATTGTGACATTGATGTGTCAAATGTGATAATGGTTGCCCATAGTGGACAGTGTTTGTTGGAGCTCCCCGATTAAAACAAGCTTGGAAGCAGGAGTGGCTTCCACTTCTGAAATAGCTTGCCTGTGGAAACCCCATGAACTTGGAGAAACAATGAAAGTTATACAAGTGTTCAGGCTTTTTGTATGACTTGACAGCACTTAACAACAATAACAGTGGCATAATCTTGGAGGAAGTGTAACCAGAGTGTGCCTTAGAGACAAGGACAGCGACACTTTATCACGTACTTTAGGCATGCTGTCAGTAGGGTTCAGTTCTTGGGGAAAAGTCATTATTCTGGGAAAGGTAGAGAGCAAGTGAAAGAGAAGACCCTCAATGAGACAGACTGACACACCGGATGGAGGGACTACAGCAAAGGGCTTGAACAAGGCAGAGATTCTGATGATGAGGATGCATGATGGGCCAAGGCGTTGATCTGTGCTTCAGAGGATCACTGTGAGTTGTCAAGTGAGTGGCCTCTAACAACAACAACAATAGTGGCAGAGTGGGTTATGTGTTGGGCTGCTAACTGAACGGTTGGCAGTTTGAATCCACTAGCAACTCCTTGAAACAAAGATGGCTGATCTCCTCCTATAAATGTTTACATGGGAATCAGATGGAGGGTCACTGGGAGACATAACTGACAGTTGGTTTGATTTGATTTAGCTCAAGAAAAGGCTAGATACGTTAAATATTTTTCAATGATTTAAAAACCACACCTCCCAAGTGGAGGTGATAGTGATGACTAATTTCTTGAGAATAGGAACTGGCTTAATTGATTCAAAGAGAAGATAAGTTCACATAATATGAAGGAGCAAATGTTAATTTTTCATAAATTGGGCTTTTGTAGCCCAGAGACTACCTATGTACAAAGTTACTTATTAAGAATGACTGAATCTATTTTGCCTGCCTTTGTAGTTACAATGGTGGACATTATAGACTTGGTTCTTGTCCTCTGGAAATTGATATTCCAGTGAGTAAGGTCATGGGTGGCGATCGTGAATAATTGGGATGACCACCTTGCTGCATGCTAGGTGAATCTGACCTCTCAAGAAACAGTAAAAGTCAAGAACAAAATAAACAAGCTAAACAATTACAGCTTGAAACATAAGCTATGAAAGAAATAAAGAGTAAATGGGAAGGTAAACCAGGGCCAGACTGTTTATGGGTACACAGTCATTTAATTGTGCTATCTTGTCCATTAAATTGTAAGTACTCTCAAAGCTGTTTCTATGACTGTCATTTCCTCTAGATCTCCATGTGACGCCCTGAAATGGTGCTAAGCACTTGTCAGGCATTGAACAAATGTTGTTGCTGTGACCTGCTGACAGGGCAGCCTTGGGTGTTCAGTCACCCATTTCCAATTTTCCTTGTTGGTCACAGTCACAATGCATTCCTGGCTGTAACCCTTTTATTGCCTTTCTGCCTTCTCTTTATTTTGCCATGTTTTACTAGTATGAGGCTGATAAGGGTCACAGAGGGAAATGTCAGGGGCAATAAGGCTCAATGAATTAGAGAATAGCTATTTTACATAAAAATGCCAGTACCACAGTTGTGTCATTGTCAAGAGAAGATGGTTAGGTTTCATTAATGGCCAGGCTAGGAAAGGAAAAAAACCTAGTTGACCGCCCAGTGCCACATTCTAGAAGGAGGCAGGGCAGCTGGGCCTGGAGGCAGCTTTCATCTGCCCAGTGGTTTAGTTTCTAAGGCAGCCTTTTCACGCTTTAAACCTCTGACTACTCTAAGAATTGTGATCTACAAAGTTCAATTCATGTCTAAAGAGGCCAAATAAAGGTGGAAAGGTACAGATGGAAGCAAGCTATTAGCTTGCCTGAAACTCTCCACAGAGATTCTTTTAAGACCCTAGAATAGACTCATAGCTTCATTAGAGGGGTTTGTTCATATGCCTGACTGGATTGTATACTAAGAGCCAAGACTTTTTTTTTTTAACTTCCAAAAGTTGGGTGAGTTTCTGTTGTGATGTGGTTTTTTTTTCCTTTCTTTTTCACTTCCAATAAAAGACTTGTAAGAGAAAGATAGAAAGGTGAATGATCACACTGACCTTTCTTAAGGAAGCTTTCAACATTCTGTTCTTAGATGACAACAGATTGAGGAAACTTTAACAATGTGAAAACCCTATGTATGATAGAGCATTCTTAGAGTAGACTAAGAGATAGGGCAATTGAGGCTGAGCCCTCAAATTTGGAAACACAAAGAAGGAGGAACATTTGTAAGCAGAAACTAATGATTGGAATATGAAATGTGAGAAGCATGAATGTAGGAAAACTGGACATCATTAAGAAATAAACAAAACACATTGTTCATTAAAATTAATAATAAAAAAACTAAAAAATAAACAAAACACACAAAATTGGCATATTAGGTTTTGGTGAAATGAGATGGATTGGCATGGGACATTTTAAATCAGATAATCATATATGATCTACTACACCAGAGATGAAAAGGTGATAATAAAATAGATTTGCTGACATAGTCCAAAAGGCCATTTCTAGGCCCATCTTGATATACAATATTCTGCATGACAGTATAATATCCATACACATACAAGGAAGACCTGGTAATGCCACTATTATTCAAATTTATGCACCAACAACCAGAGCCAAAGAGGAGGAAATAGATGTTTCTACCAACTTTTGCAGTTAGAAATGTATCAAACCTTCAACAAACATGCAATAATAATAATAATGAGAGAATGAGATGCAAAAGTTGGGAGCCAGGAAGAAGGATCAATGTCGGAAAACAGGGACTTGGTGACAAAAGTGAGGCTGGGGATAGAATGATAGACCTCTGCACAATCAATGATATACTAATTGAAAATACCAATTATAAGAAACATAAACTCAGGCTATACACATGGATTTCACCTGATGGGATACACAGGAACCAGACTGATTACATCTGTGGAAGGAATTATTGGAGAAGTTTACTATCAGCAGTGAAAACTAGGCCAGGTGCTTTTTGTGAAACAGACCATCAACTACTCATGAACCAGTTCAAATTAAAGCTAAAGAAGGTCAAATCAAATCCAAAGGAATCAAAATTTCATCTTGAGTCTAATCCAACTGAATGCAAAAGCCAACTCTGAAACAGGTTTGAGGCCTTGAACAC